TTAAACTCATTGTCAAACTTTAAAAGCCTGTATCTGCAAGTTTATAAACCTTTCACCAATCCTAGTACACGTTTCAATTTTCAATTTTCAACTCCCTTGACAAAACAGGCATAATTCTGTCGCATTTAATTTATAGGGATGGAAACATACCTATTTTATATTGACAGTGGATTCCCATCAATTCATAATCAAAATTCAAGGATGGGATGAAAAAGAAGATTCAATGAATCCAATTACCATGAAAGAAAGTAGAAGTTTTTCAAAATCCAAACTTCACAGATATGGAAGACTTACAGGAGAGCAAATTCCTTATTGTGATAAGTAAAAAGGAAGGTCTGCTTTTATAATAAGATTTTACTAAAATACTGCTATAAATATTTACTTAACTATCATCTGCGACTGCTTTTATGCAACAATGGCAGATCTAAGTAGTAACATACGCCTGGCAAGACAAAACTATTTTCTGTGTCTTTAAATAATTGTTTTTTTCTGGTACATAATATAGCTGAATCAGAAATCATAGGTTGGTATTGATTCTCTTCTTCTAAACACACACACACACTTGCATTTATAGTCCTATTTTCTTATCCAGAACTGAATATGAACAGATACACACTTTATATCTGTTTATTACTCACTACCAAAAAATGACACATCTCACTAATATATGTATTAAAAGTTCAGATCACAGACAGTTTAACAGTGCAAATGGCCATGATATAAAGTTGCCGAGGTAATTGTTTTTCCTGAAGAAAACACACAGGATTCTTAATAATTCTTTCAGAGCAAATTTTTGAGCAAATAAATTGAAGCACTGAACCACTTGTAAGCACTAAAAGATAACAGCACTATAAAACATGTAATTTTCATCAAACAAGAGAATACAGTACCTTTGCTTCATATCATAAAGGGAACATGGGGCAGGTAAAACCCATTACATATTTGAACAAAAGTAGCACAACTGAGAAAAGGACTTCAAAGTGAAACTTTACCTAATCTGGAGATTCCATCCAAGAAAAATGTATCAGTTTATCTTACAGAAACACACTCATCACTCTTAAATACTTAATTCGATGGTTTAATTACCTTAAGCTACATTACTATATGTTATGATTTTGTATTGATTTGTATTTTATTGAAAATATAACTCTTTACTTAAATTATCTCCTGTAATGAATGGCATCAATAGATCTTTAATCTATGATTCAAAAAAGTTTCACGGGTGATATTTTCTTCACTTCTGCATATTTAAGCATATATTGCCACTGTTCCAGTCATAAAATTTCATAGCATGACCCTATTTAATAATTTGGGTTCACAGTCTTTTCCTCTCAGCAAGTGATAGCTGTGCTGTTGTTTCTAGCATTTAGTTACACAGGAAGAAAATTAGCCTGATTTAGCTTGGAAAGGGAAAAACAAAACTGCAGTCTCAACTACCTATTCACTGTTTTCTTTCAAGTTCTTCAGTAATTGCGTTTCTCTCTACACACTAAACGTTATTTTGTAGCTTCCAGCTCTCTGGCATGCACATCGAGCATCTTCGGACCCATTGTTTTAAATCTTTTTCCACCTGTGTTAGGATTTGAAAATGGCATACCATCCTGTCTTCTACGTTGCTGGTACAAGTTCTTTGTGTTCAATTCTTCATGCTATCTCTGTGCATTTCATTTGGCAACTGCATTTTTAAATTTCACTATTTTCTCCATTATTTTTTCCTGATTGGCCTTTCCCCCTTAGATTTTTTTCCTTAAGAATTTTTAATTTGGGTTTAATCAAACTTATATTCTACTGGTATTTTCTATATTTCCTACAGTTATTTTCTTCTGCCTGTTCTGAATTTTTGTACAATTTTTTTCTTCTAAATAAAAATCTAAAGGATCAGTGTTGAAACTTTTAACACCTTCAAATGATGAGGGAACTTGCAGAAAAGGCACTGAAGAGATAGTTATATAGAACAGTCTGATCATGATAATCCTTAGCCAATTTTCACAATCAAATTTTTATATAGTTTGGTTTCACAAGAAAGAATTTTAACTTTTTTTAAAACAATCCTGGTGCTCAGTTTGTTCTATGATGGTGCAGCATCATCTTTTGGGTCATTGTTCCTATTTATCCAACAAAACTGTCCATCGACCCTGGTTTTAATTTGATAAGCAGATGAAGGTACAAAGGGTGAGAGAAAAGAGACGTGAAGACAGAGTAGGAAAGGAAGGATGGGAGAGCAAGAGAACCAGTTCACGTGTGCTGGCTCACTCCTCAGATGCTTCCAATCCATGTAGTATCAAGATAAACTGAAAACTGGACACTTAATTAAGGTTTCTGACATGGGTAACAGACACACAATTAGTTGAGTTGCAGTCGCCACTTGCCCAGTTCTGTATTTGTATGTAGCTTAAATCAGGACTGGGACTCAAAGCGAAGCACTCGATATTGGATACATTGTACTGACAACAGTTTGAACTGTTAGAGGAATCATGTTTTTCTTTCAGTTAAATGTTCTTAGCATTAAAAAGAGAGAGAGAGATGATAAGACAACATGATCAGGCCATTAGGCGATAACCATTTTGGTGTGTTAAAAATTGTAAAAATAGTTACAGTGATTCTGCTTACAAACATTCGCTGGCCTAACCATCCATCTCTTTTGCCTTATTTCACACTCACAATTTCTTTCTAGGATTTTCTGTCAGCGTATAGACATCCAGAGCTATCAGTGGCGTGCGGGTAGATCCAGGGCTGAAGCAGCACTTCAGATGACTGCCCCAGAAGGACAGTTGCTCAGCCTTAAGATGTTTTCAAATTAATGACAAAAGACAAATTAGAGATACAGGTCTTTCTTCTTACTTTCTCCATGATACTGGTTTTGTTTTGCATTTTCAATGTGAAAATACTGGCCTAAAAATATTTATTATGTTAAATAATGTAACAATGTATAAATACGTGTCATTGATTTGCATAAGTGCCATCATTTTCCATGTCTTTATAGATATTGCTATGAAAATTAAGGACTGGCTAATGTTGTGAGATGCAGCTATTAAGGTGTCACTTTAGGGTACAGGGTTGTCCTAACTTAAGTCTATTTCATTTGTTAACTTCTCTTCTGTGTTTCACTGTCTGGTAAGTTATAAAGTCTTGCCTGGTTTCTCCAATCCGTGCCTCTCAGCTGACAGTCCTTCCTTATTCCATAACCCGTGGGGAAAATAGGCCATTTCCTCTGCTCTTCAGGTTGAAACATTAAACTTTACATGGTTCTGGTAGGACTACTTCTTAGGGTCCAATGACCCAGAATGAGGCTGTAATGAGGATAACAACTCTCCTATGACTTTCAGAAATCAAAACCTTCATTCTTCTAATCCAATACAAGTTCTTAAGCTCACCTATCCTTCCAGGGGACTCATGTTCATGAGCCATTCACCGCACTAGCTATAGGCAAGGATAGAACAGAAAAAGCTAACTTGAGAATCACTTGTGTTATGGATCCCTTCTTGCATCTGATTGCTACATAGCCTATTTACATTCCTGAATATGTTACAGTAGCTCTAGGCCTGTTTCAATATTGGTTCTCTGGTTTTTAAGGCCCAATTTTCCTCATTCTATTATCAAATACACATCCCCCTTTTAATGTTTATTTTCCTATTTACATATTATTTAATAATGATCCTGTTTCCTGCATATTTTCCTAAAATTAACATTTATGTCCTCCTCACTTGCATATACACCATCTGTGTAGTTATTCCTGCTCTAACCAATTCAGTTAATATGTTCCAGATTTTACCTGTCCTGTCCATGGCATACTCAGTCCTTGAGGTCACATGGATTCCCGCAGATTCAGAGCCTTTGTGGTGTTGGCATAGTTGCACACCTGACATTCAGCATTTTAAAAACCATGAGAGATTTGTTTAAAAGCCAGAGAGGCAAATAATTTGAGTAGTTCTGGTTCAGAGATCTTCTTAACCAATCAGCTGTGAAATCCTTCTGTCTTATTCTAGCAATATCATCCATGAGAACAGGATATTTTTCTCATTATTTCAAACTGGTTTTAGATCACAAAATATATATGAGCCTGTACTAGAAGTGAGTATTACAAAGCAGAGTCAAATATGAATTACTGACAGAAGCAGTGTCCATAAAAGTAAGGTGAAGACACAGAACTACTTCTAGGTCAAAATTCAAGTTACTCATAACCAAACTAACCTCAAGAAAAATATAACTCAAGTCACAAATGAAAATCACTAAGTAACTTAGAATTTTATAGTAGTCATATATATGAATAGAAATAGAAAACAGGTGACATTAATTGCACCAGTAATTTCTTAATACATTTCAAGTGTTAACATGTCGTTATTAATTCTGTACATAAATGTATTCATTAATAACTGTAGACCTGTTGTGTACACTTCACACCTATAGATCCTCTCAGATTCGATTAATCACATTTCAAGTGTCTAGTGGTCACCAAAGTGAATAGTGCAGGATAAGCTTTTTATTATCCTCATGCCTAAAAAAATTTTAGGAAACTAAGTTAATAAGCATATTAGCAATGCATGTTTTAATGCCTTTATTTAACCATTTTGCAATGTTTACATTTTTATGATTTATTTTATTTATGGAAAGGCAGGGTTGCCAAGAGGGGATGAAAGAAAGAGATTTTATATCCACTGGTTCACTCCCCAAATGATTACAAAGGCCAATGCTGCGCCAGGCTGAAGCCAGGATTCAGGATCCTCCTGTAGCTATTCTAAAAGGGGCAGGAATGTAAGGAATTAGGATATTTTCTGCTGCTTTACCAGGGAACTGGATTAGAAGTAAATGAGCCGGGTATTGGATGAATACCCATGTGAGATGCAAGCATTGCACGTGGCAGCTCAATCCATCACACCACAATGTATACATATTTTAAAACATATCATATATAATGAATATATATATATATCATTTTATTAATGATTTTAAAAAGATACAACACAGTAAATATGAGACAATAACAAATTCTTTTCTCTTACCTACACAAATCTTCTTTTATGTGAAGGGAAATCAATTCCTTAGGAATATGAAAAGAAAGTACGCTCTCCGACATTTGCTCCCGAATCCGCATCCACTTATTGTCAGATGTCGGAAATCTATACAGTTTACACACTGGGTTCTTTAATACTGGGATGAAAGAAAAAAGGGGAAAAGCCAAATTTTAAATGAAATAAAGGCACATCTGGTGATACTCAATCAGCAAAATCATAAAACTGTATGGTAATTTAAATATAGCATTATGATTTTATTTGATCAAAAACATATTCCTTATGAGAAATCAGCAGTGTATTGAAGTCTGAGAATTTTATTTCTTAAGTTTATTTTTACTTATTTGAGAGGTAGATTCAAAAAATAGAAAGAAAAAGTGTTCTTCCATTCATTGTTTGGCCTCACATATGCCTTCAATAACCAGGACTGGACATAATCAGGAGCAAAGGACTTCATTTCGATCTCCCACATAAATGACAGAAAGTTAAAGATTAGAATCATCATTTGCTGCCTACCTGGGAGTGGATTAGCAGCAATATGGATTGAAATCACAGGACTTGAATCTAGGCACTTCGATGCAGGATGTGGGATTAACACCACTACTCTGACCCCAGGACTTTTACATCTTATCTCTTTCAGCCATTTTTGGGAAATACCAGCTTTGTCCAATTTACGGGAAAATAGAATCAATATTTAATTCATGAGTGTGACTGTTTAATTTACTTTCATTATTCCCTCGTCTAAAGATTTTATAGGTACATGTCTATAAATGTGGGTGAAAATATAAATAGATGCACACAGCATACATTTTAATAACTACATTTCTGAATTTCTTCTTATCATCTTAGTTAACTTTACCAATATACACCGATGGTGATCATTTCAAAAATTTCACAATGTCTTACTACTAAAAAGCCTTTCTTAAATATTAGCAAATGTTCACTCTTTTGCTTAATATCCATTAAAATTGCACTATTATGCTGTTAATCAATCCAGACATTTTCTTCAAACCATGTGTTACAGAACTCAGACAGGGAGGCTGTAAAGAAATTGTGTTTATTGTAGGTGAGCAATGATTAAGAGAAAAGCAATAAGACCAGGTCTTATTTCAACATTCACCGAAAGTGTTTCAGAATGACAGCATGTTTTCCACAATTGCAAATCCTATTTTTTATTTCCATTGATGTCAGACAATAAATTGCTTTCTTATGCTTAGACTAAAGCTTAACTGGCAATAAAATGTCACATTAGTAATCTATGGCTAGTTGCCTCCAATTTACAATTAAAAGTGATTAAAAATGATAGTTGATTATAAAGTCAGTGTAAGACTTCAAATAACATTGAGCATGGAAGACAGGTCAGGTATTATAAATATGCAAGGTGAAAATGCCTTTCTAATACTATAGGGTCCAACAATGCCAACATGCTTCCTTCCCTGCTGGGGAAACATGTTTTTTTGAATATTGAAATGCAGATCAATTCTTGCATTCTTCCACCATCAGACCTCCTTAAGGGGACACTCTGAATATTAAATTGCAAATATTTATGCCACATCAGAAACTTTAATTTCAAACATCCTCATCCTTCAGCCACTGGATACAAACCTCCCAATCCAGTTACATACTTTCTGCCATGAATAAAACAAATTGCTTACTGCCCAATAGGGCAAATTATCCAGAAGAAAACAAAGTATTCCTAGTGAGTTGAGAGAAAATATTTTTAAAACCAATAGTTTAATGTCCAAAGGTCATGCTTTGAATGTACACATGCTACTTTTACATTGCATCAATTATATCAGGTGCATACGACATTCATATTTGTTTTATTTCATTGAAAAGCAAGACTCTATAACCACTCAATTAAAAAAACAACCCAAATTCCATTCTTGTTTAATTTAACAAATTTTTCAAAAATAAAAAAATTTCACCACCACTGCATTGTCCTGTCTCTAAAGTTAGAAAATATTAGATTATTTTATATTAGATGTAAACATTTAATGCAACATAGCCAATCCGTTCAATCATATATGTAACCTCATGAATTCATGAGTGATGAGTGAATGCATCTTTTAATGGTAAAATAAAATAACTTATTCCAAATGTCTGAATTCCTCCTAAGTACTTATTCAATTACTAATTCCATGTACATGTTTCCATTTTTAACTACAATTTTTTTTGCAAAGCTATACAACATTTTTCAATGTACAAAATAACACTAAAATTCTCAGATACTTTCCTTTTTGTACATTAGTAAATCTTTTTCTTAAAAAAATTGTATTCTGAGGTGCTAGCATTGTGGCATGGCAAGTGAAGCCACCTGTAGAATTGGCATCCCGTTATTAGAGTGCTGGTTCAAGCTTTGGCTACCCTAATTCCAGTCTAGTTTCCTGCTAATGTGCCTGGGAAGACAGCAGAAGATGGCTCAAGTTTTTTCAGGTCCTGCTATCCATGTAGGAGACTGGAGTGGAGCTTCCTGCTACTGGCTTTGGGCAGGTCCAGCCTGGACTGTTGATGTCATTTGGGGTATGCAACAGAAGATGGAAGCTAGTTTTTTTCTTTCTTCCTTCCCCTCTCTCTGTTTTTCAAGCAAATAAATATTTTTGAAGAAATAATTTATTTTGAATTATGCCATAGAATATATCATCTTTATTTTCATTTTTGATTCCCAACAAGTTCTTAAACCCTTTTTGTTTTAATGCTTAATAAATTTTCATTAAATATTTGTTGAAATAGCTGAAGCTGAAATAGATGTTAATTTAATTAATGACCTCTACTATTCTTTTTTAATTACGAGATGAACATCACCCAAAGACTCTATGGAAATACTGCTCTTTTTAAATGAAACATGTGGGACACATAAGAAAGGGAGCAGGCAGCCTAATTATAGAAAACATACCAATAAACTATCTTATCATTTTTTTATATTATGAATTCTGAACTATTGAGAGTCTTAAATCTCCAAATGTTAGTATTAAATCATGTATATGATTTATCAGTATGTAAATGCAGTATCTCGATGGAATCATTTTGCAAATCAATTTGATTCAGCAGCATCCCATATTGGACAACTATTATGTGTGAAATAAAGGCACCTACAGACACTCTGTAATGTATTATATCTTCCAAAATGAAGAAATGTGCTTTGATCTTTTACTATAATACTATTGTTGCACTAGTTTCAAAAATAGCACATACAATATCCTCAATGCAAAATTCTTGCTGGGGTCATGGTGGGAAGTTTTATCCTCACATAAAAGAAAGAAAGGGTGCTCATGCATCAAATGCTGAACAATGGGCCACCCATGATGATCATTTACTAAGTTTTTTTAATGCTTCTGCCCATAGCAGAGATGCAGTTTTAACGATTTGGCACACATACCCTTGCTGTGTAAAAGAGAAAATGACATTGTAATTGACTTTGGACTTTCAACCTCCACTGTGCCAAGTGTTTATTCAGGTAGAAGATGCTTTTCTGACCATACAATGGGCTTAACCAATAATAAGAAATAGACAACATCTATTAAAAGTGTTGTTAATGCTTATGTTTATCTATTTGAAAGGCAATGTTACAGAGAAAGAGGGATAGACTAAGAGTGAGAGGCATCTAATATCAACTGGTTCAGTCCCTGAGTGGATGCAATAACTGGAGCTGGGCCAGTCTAAAGTCAAGAACTAGCAGCTTCTCTGTTTCCTACAGGGGTTCAGGGGTCCAAGCACTTGAGCCATCTTCTGCTACTTTCCCAGATACATTCTCAAGGAGTTGTTAGAAGTAGAGCAGCCAAGACTCAAACCTGCAGGCATATGAAATGCTGGCACTCCAAGCTGAGGTTTAGCCTGATACATCACAGCCCTGACTTCCACAAGGTCTTTTAAAAATACAACTTCCTATGTATTCTCATCTTCACTGCTCTGACCAGATAATTGCTGAAAGTATCATGTGACAGTACCAAGAGAATTATAATGAGGATATTTTGAATAACACCATGGTCTTATAATGACACACTGAGTTTAAATTTATAAACCAAATAAAATCAGCTGATACATCCTCCCGGGGCCCATCACCTGAGAAGAATGCAAGGACAGAAAGTAAATGATAACTTTTTCCTCTTTAAATATGCCACACAAGTCAGATTTCTACATTAGTTTCCTGAGGCTTTGTAAAATAATGTATAACCATGTAGTATGCCACCTGCTTTTCCAGGGGATTCAGCAATTGTAAAAGCCAAGCTGTTGCAATTTTGAGTTAACCAAAGTATATATGCCAAGGAACTGTTCAAGAGACAAAAATAGGGAACACACACACAAAATAAGGTTTCTGCTCAAGCAACCTGAGGCAGAAAAGATAAAGCAGAGAGACACTGCAGGGCCAGTTGTCTCTTGTCTGTTTCTATAGAACAAAGATATGAGAGGAGTTATCAATTTATGATTGGATAAAAACATAAGGAAATAAAGAATTTTGACTCCAGAAGATTTGCTTATAACATTTACTTAATCAGAGGATCTTTTCTTGACTGTGATTATTTGCATGCATTTCTTGCTTTCAGAATGTACTACAAGTTTTATACTCAAATAGAAACTGACTTTATTGCCTTCAGGACTTAGAAAATCATTCTTTAAATGTGATGCAGAATCTTGTAGGGAATCCATTCACTCTGTAGTTTTAATTATGCAGTCGTATGATTGTTTAATTACTCAGCTGAACGTACATGCATTGCTTACTCTCCAAATACTGTCTTACATGTAATAATTGTAACTCTGCAATCCAGTTAGATGCTCACATTCTCTCATTTGTGTTTGCAAGTATATTAGATTCACATATATCTTACATGCAGTTGGATCTTTTTGAGATTGGATGAGAACTAGAAAACCTAAACACAAATTATGAAAACATTATGCTAAGCACAGATGTAAAAAAGGCTGGGCAAGAATATGTGAGTGGAGCTCCAAAGTACAGCACAGGGATATTACATTTTAAAACTAGGACTTTGAAAACATAAATCTTTAAGAAATTTTTAGTAACAATTCTCTAGATTTTCTTATGAAAGCCAGATTGTGTTACAGTTTTTTGGGCCAAAAAGAAACAATGAATTCAATGACATAACACATAAGCTAAGTTTGACCAAGTGCTGCTTCCTTCAT